TATATATGTATGTGTATATATGTATGTGCGTATATATGAATACATGCATACCTACCTACCTACCTATCTACATACATACATACATACATACGTGCATACGTACATACGTACATACGTACATACGTACATACATACATACATACATACATGCATACATGCATGCATGCACACATACACACATACATGCATACATACACACATACAAACATACATGCATACATGCATACATACATCCATACATACATACATACATACATGCATGCATGTATGCATGCATGCATGCATGCATACATACATACACACGCACATACGTACATACATACATACATACATACATATATACATACATACATACATACATACATACATACATACATACATACATACATACATACATATACACATGCATACATACATATATACACATATACATACATACATACATACATACATACATACATACATACATACATACATACATACATACATACATACATACATACACACATATACATACATACATACATACATACATACATACATACATACATACATACATACATACATACATACATACATGCATCCATACATACATACATACATACATACATACATACATACATACATATATATATATATATATATACATACATATATATACTTATATATGCATATACATACATATATCTCTATATATGTATGTCCGTCTCCATATCCAGACCCATCTCCAGATCCATATCCGCATCCGTACCCACATCCATGCCCAAATCCGAGTCTACCGCGAGCCGACGTCCGCGGAGCTGGCCCCCCCCCCGGCGGTGGCCAGGGACGACACGCGTCCCCCCCGCCTCGGGCCCTCGCGTCCCCCTCCCGGGAGGCCAGGCCGGGCACGGGCAGGCTCGCGCCGCGTCGGCGCGTGCACTCTGCTGCGGGCGCAGCGCGGATCGTTCGACCTGGAACGATGCTCGGCTCTCCGGCGGCACGGGTGGCCGGCTGGCGGCCAAGTGGAAGGGGCCCCGGGACACGCAAATAAACACACACACACACACAAATATAACAGGATTCTCCAGATCTTCCCATGTGTTTTCTGGGCTGTGGTCTCCCCCCCCCCACTTCCCATACTTTCCGAAATGCTCGGGGGAATCGATGATTCACTGTGTCTGCTTGCTTTTTCCCCTCCTGACAAGTCTGAAGGCGAACTGGGACACACAAATAAATAAACACAAATAACCAGATTCCCCATATTCTCCAACATTTTCTGGGTTTTGTCTTCCCCACCACTTCCCATATTTTCCCATATTTTTCTTGGGATCGATGATTCATTGTGCCTGCGTGCTTTTTCCCCTCCTGGCAAACCTGGGCTCTGGCGACGTTAACGGCCCAAGGAAGCGCCCGAGCCATAGGCCCGCCGCCGCGCCGGCACGGCACGAGGCTGCAAGCAGGGACGAGGCCGTCTGCGCCACGGAGGGGACAAACAGCGACTGAGGCCAGCGCCTTTTAAGAAGTAGCCTTCTTCCAATAACTTGTTTTCCTTCCCCTACCCCCTTTGTGCGCCCCGCCAATGTGGGGTGGTGCCGCTTTTCTTTCTTCCTTCGGCAGCGGAAAATTACCTAGGTGCCCTGACTCCGGATCCGCTGTGCGCTGAGCGGGGGCGATGGCAAATCATAGTCGTGCCCGGAAAGGTCCGGCGCCGGGCTGCAGCCATCTTGCTTCACGTCGGGCCTGGCCCCCTACAGGGGGATCTTGGGCGAACAAAAAATAAATTCTCCAAAAATACCCCCAAATAACAATACTGACCAAACCGTCCCCCGACTATGTTTTTTGACCATTTTGGACCATCCCCCCTGTAGAGGGACAGGCCCGATTTAAATCTTGCTGCCCCAGGGAAGGCCGAATCAGAAGCACAGCGGCTCTTCTGGCCACTGCGGGCCTCGGCCGCGCAGAGGTTCCCCGACCTAGACCCAGGGAGCGACCCGAGAATCAGAGCCCCGCCTGAACCCAAGCAGGTCCGTACAACTTTTGATCTGCGGGGCGAGAGCGAACCACTTCCGCTGAAAGCTAAGCGGGACGCGCACAGCTTTGAATAGCAGAGAAACGGCGGAAGAAGGCGGGGCCTCACGCGGCCGGGAGAGGGCGACGCCCTGGGATCAGGCGGTGCCGAAAAGCAGGTCCGTACATTCGGGCTGCTGAAATAAGAACAGCAAACAAGGAACGAAGCCTCCTGTCTTTCTTCCAAGATGGGACGTGACACCCAAAGGCCGTAACATCCGAAGGAGCACCGCAGGGGCTCGTGACCAAAAACGGAACGTAACGCACACAAACCTCAGGAACCACCGAGCCCCTTCCGACCTCGAACTGGACCTCGAACTGGACTGACTCAAACGCGTTCCATTACTCGTCAAATAACTGCTCGCACATGGCCTGGATCCGCCGGGGGAGATCTACGATCCTTGACGTCGCGATAAACATCATTGCACCGGCCTGGCAGGCGTGCTGCAGCGGGTTGCTGCGTGGATTTATGCGCGGATTTCTACCCGACATGGCGCGTGAAAAACGAAGTCAGTTCCGCATGGATTTGTTTTTGTCTTCCTTCCTCGCCAAGAACAATCGCACGAAACTCACCTCGAGATCCGAAACGAACTTCTCCAGGCCTCTCTGGGCCCACCATGCCGTTTTCCGAGCGAGCTCCGCGCTGCGCCGCTGGCGCGCTGCCTATAACTGAAGGGGCCCTGGGACACACAAATAAATACACACAAATAAACTGATTCCCCATATTTTCCCATATTTTCGTGGTCTTTGTCTTCGCCCCCACTCCCCATATTTTGCAATGTTTTCCTGGGAATCGACGATTCATTGTGTGTGATCTTTTTCCCCTCCTCGGTCGGGCGCCCGCGGGCGGGGCTTTCGGCGGGGCGCAGGCGCAGGCCGTCCGGATATAACCCTCGCGATCCAGCAGCCGGCGCGGGTGCCGAGGGGTACAGCGGCAGGGCGAGAGCAGTGGAGGGCAGAGAACCTACAGTCGGGGCGTTGACCTAAGGAACCCTCAATAAGGAACGAGGCCCCTTGTTTTCAATAAGTTAAACTTCCCCATCGAAGACCTAAGGACAACCTGAGGCAAGCTGCGAAACATCAAGGAACACCGAGCCCCTCCCCAACGAAAAGGGTTCCTTGTTTAGCGCCCCGACTGTACAGCGGCAGAGAGAGCGCAGCGGAGGGCAGCAAACCTACCCCGACGAGAGAAGCCCTGCGCAAACGCGTCCAGGGAAGGATCGAACAGGGCAGGGCTGTCTAGTAGACGCCCAGCGATGTCTTCTAAACGACGCCGACTGTGGGGACCGGGGTGCTCTATCCTTGCTTGAAGTAGAGGCCTCCTAGATGGGGTCGAGTAGGTGGGGCCCGAGGATCGCGCCGCATGGTCGATGCATCACGGATGCATCAGCGATGCATCAATGATACTTCGGCAACGTCGGCGGTGTAACGGCGGCGCCAGCGGGGCGAAATTCCGGCTCCGAATCGAGCCGCATCGCCGATGCATCGGCCATGCGGAGCGATCCTCCAACCCCATCTACTAGGACCTAGACCCCATCTGAGAGACCTGGAGTCGGCGGCGAGCGAGGGTGGAAAATTAGAAGGAGCGGGCCTTCTCAGAAGGCTCGGAAGTCTCCTGGCCTTCTGAGAAATTTCGTAAGCCTTCCCCGAAGACGCCAGAAACCTCTCAGAAGGCCAGAGGCCTTTTGAAAAGCCCCCCCTCGCTCGCAGCCGATTGAGAGGGGAAAGAGAACCAGCTAACGGCACAGACGGGAGGAGAAACGCTGGGTGGGCGCCGCTGTTGGGCATAGGCGGCCAGCTGTGTCGAATGGACAACTACCGCGGCGATGCTGGCAGCGAACCTTGTTCGGAATGAACAAGAACAACTGTTGGACTTTGTACCATTGTTTCTATACCAATGCCCAACGCGCCGAAAAATTGCACAGACTGGCGGGGTAACGCCGGGAGCGCGCCCCAAAAAGGAGAAGGAGGAGGATGGGGAAGAGGAGGAGGGGGAGGAGGGGGAGGAGAAGGAGGAGGAGGAGGAGGAAGAGGAGGGGGAAAAGGGGGGCGAGGAGGAGGAGGAGGAGGAGGAGGAGGATGAGGGGAGGAGGAGGAGGAGGAGAAGAAGGAGGAGGAGAGGAGGGGAGGAGGAGGAGTGGGAGGAGAAGAGGAGGAGGAGGAGGAGGAGGAGGAGGAGGAGGGAGGAGATAGAGGAGGAGGGAGGGGGAAGGAGAAGGAGAGAAGGAGGAGGAGCAGGACGGAGGGGAAGGAGGAGGGGGAGGGGAAGGGAGGAGGAAGGAATAGGAATAGGAGGAGGAGGAGGAGGAGGAGGGAGGGCGAGGAGGAGGAGGGGAGGAGGAGGAGGGGAGGGAGAAGGAGGGAGGAGGAGGAGGAAGAGGAAGGATGATGATGAGGAGGAGGAAGGAGGAGAGAGGGCGCTGGGGATCGTCGTCGGAGGTCGGAGTGCCCCGCGCAGCCGGGGTGCTGGGTTGCGGCCGCCGGCCGCGCCGCACCCTGCAATATTGCCGCTGCTGCTGCTGCTGCTTCGTCTTCTCCCTCCTGCTCCTCCTCCTCGCCTTCCTCCTCCTCCTCCTGGTCCTTCTCCCTCGTCCTCCTCCTCCCTCCTCCTCCTTTCCTCCTCTTCCTCCTCCTCCTACTCCTTCTCGTCGTCCTCCTCCTCCTCCTCCTTCTCCTCCTCCTCCTCCTCTTCCTCCTCCTCCTCGTGCTCTCTCCGCCCCTGCTGCTACTGCTGCTGACTTTGCTGTTGTTACTGCTGCTGCTGCAACTGATGATGCTGCTGGCGTCTTCATCTTCCTTTAGCCACGATGGGTCGGAAAATGTAGGTAGAACCATGAAATCGAAAGTCGTTGGAAGCAGATTGGGTTTCCGCCCGCCCCCCGAAGAGGAAGGAAATGGAGCACAAACGTTCGATGATTGAAGCAGGAATGTGCCTGACGTAGATTGGTAGATGGCAATCCAAGAATACAAACTGTCAACGAACGGCGTGTAAACAAGTGCGTTGTGCTCTTGCAGTTGGTGTGCTACACACGAGTCAGCTGGGTGGCGAGCTGCGCGGTATTGATTCACAAGCTGGCCGCCCTCAAAGAGCAAGGCGCGCCCATGCACACAGAGAGTGCGTTTACTATCAGCGCTTTCCACTGCCATGCCCAGGTGCGCTCTACACATAAGCCGTTCATGGAGATCACGTAAATCTAACGCCATACACTGCACATGAATTGCTCATGCTGCCCTCGGCGGGTCAACAACAATACATCACCGCTCAACGGAGGCCCTGAATACAACAGAAGCCAGAAACGTGCGACTACCCACCGGTCACCTCATTGCGCCCGAGGAGAAGACTGCAGAACTGCAACGCACAAACAATCTTGCCAAGCGATCTGTAAGCAAGTGCCAGGCAGGACGTCCACGGGAATTCAATAATCAAACGCTGCGCTGCAGAAGCCCGCAATATTACCTGCGCACTTGCACTGCAACGTGCTTCACACCACAGTGGCTGCCGCGATACGAACAATACATAGGCATTGCTTGAAAGAGCTCTCCAGCCAGAGAGCGCAGATAGAAGTACGACGCGGTGCCTGAATAGAACTGGGCAGCTGCCGCAATCCAGCGTTCCTTCCCCCCTTCGTATAGAACGCACATGACATTGGCGATATCCCCGTCGATTCAAAGCTTTTCTCGGCGGCGAGCGAGGGGGGGAAGTGAGAAGGGGCGGGTCTTCTATCAGAAGCCTCGGAAGTCCCCCGACCTTCTGAGAAGGCCGAATAGGGTTTCTGATAAGCCTCGCCGCCTTCTGAGAAGGCCTTCTCCTTCTCACTTCCCCCCTCGCTCGCCGCCGATTTTCCTTTGTGCGAATCAACTTCGATTCACTACAAGCCCCGCCCCCCAAGGCCCTAACCTGACGCCAGGACCCCAAACAGGCCTGACCTGACGCCGCCCCTTAACCTGACGCCAGGGCCCAAAACCTGACGCCCCTAACCTGACGGCGGCAGCTTCATCTCGAGTCTTGACGCCACAAGCACGCACCCGAGCTGCACGTCACCGCTGTTCCCCCAGCCAGGGTGCTACCGGAGCCCACCGACAGCACGACCTGCGTGATGCAGGTTAAGTGCCCGGCGTCAGGTTAGGGGTGCTCGAAATTCTTTCCGGTGATCAAGGCTAAAGTAGGTTGGAGCATCAAAAGGGTAGGGTCGAGAATCAGCTCGCGCAGCTGCTTTTCCCGGCGCCTCCCAGCGCCGGGAGGCGCCCACGTATCGAGGAATGGGCCCGGCGGCGGGGCCGAAACCAGCTGCATGCAGCAGACTTCGTACCCCCCCTTTCCCTATCCCCCCCAGTCGTTCGGCCCGATCCTTCCCCTCTGTTCCTGTCTTTAGGTCGGGCCTGTCCCCCTACAGGGGGATTGTGGACGAAATATAAGACACACTCCGAAACTATTCGAAAGATGCCCAAAAATACTCAACAAACAAGTCCACCGACTATTTCTTGACTATTTTTGGATATTCCCCCTGTGGAGGGACAGGCACGACTTAATCCTGTCACCTCTCTGCACTGCAGTGCCGGCGCCTGGCACGCGCCCGCCTTTGAAGGCGGCTGGGCGCGGCCATCAGAGGTCGTCGTGAGTTGTCAAGCGTCCGTCGTCGTCGTCGTCGAAGTCGTCGTTGTTCTCGACGTAGAAGTAGTCGTTGTCCTCGTCGTCGAAGTCGTCGTTGTCGTCGTCGGCGTCGTCGAAGTCATCGTTGTCGTCGTCGTCGTCGTTGTCATCGTCGTCGTCGTCGTTCGAGCGTAATGGACAGGTAGCGGTAAGTCGGGCATGTCCCCCTACAGGCGGATCTTGGGTGACAAATAAATGAAAAGCAACAGATATTCGATAATTGCCCGGCAAATAGAAATATCGCCAGCATAATATATCCTTACTACCTATACGACCACCCTTCGGGTGATAAGGAGGTTCAGGGGGGGAGGAACCAACGTCTCACTCGATCTGTCTCACTATCGATCCCACTATCAATATCACTATCGGTCTCGCTCGATCGATCTCACTCGATCGATCTCACAATCGATCTCACTCGATCTACTTCATTCGATCGATCTCACAATCGATCTGACCATCGATCGCACAATGCATCTCACTATCGATCTCACTATCGATCTCACAATCGATCTCACGTTCGGTCTCACTATCGATCTCACAATCGATCTCACAATCAAAGTCATCATCATCAACAGCATCATCATCAACGTCATCAACATCAACATCATCGGAGCACCACCATCATCATCATCATCATCATCATCATCATTACCTCATCACCATTATCATCAACATCATCATCATCATCGGGACACCATCATCACCATCATTCTCGGAACACTACAATCATCATCTCATCGTCATCATCATGACCAACATCATCAACATCATCATCGGGACACCATCATCATCATCATCTGCAACATCATCAGCATCAACATCATCATCATCATCATCATCATCATCATCATCATCGGGACACCATCATCATCACCACCATCATCATCACCACCACCATCATCATCATCATCATCATCATCATCATCATCATCATCATCATCATCATCATCATCGGGACACCATGATCACCACCGCAATAAGCATCATCATCATCATCATCACCATCATCGGGCCACCATCATCAAAATCATCATCATCCTCATCATCAACATCATCATCAACGGGACACCATTATCATCATCAACAACATCATCATCACCAGGACACCATCATCGTCATCATCACCAGCATCATCAACATGATCAGCATCAACCTCAACATCAGCATCGGGACACCGTTGTCATCATCTTCATCATCACCATCATCTCATACTCACTCATCATCACCATCATCAGCATCATCATACTCACCAACATCATCATCATCATCATCATCATCATCATCATCATCATCATCATCATCATCATCATCGTGGCACCACCATCATCATCAGCATCATCATCAGCATCAACATCATCATTATCATCATCATCGGGACACCATCATCATCACCACCATCACCACCATCAACATCGTCAACATCATCATCAAAATCATCGGGACACCATCATCATCACCACCATCGCCATCATCATCATCATCAGCATCACCATCATCATCATCAACATCATCGACCTCATCATCATCAGCATCATCATCAACATCATCATCATCGGGATACCGACGGGACACCGGCGGGACACCAGAGGGACACCGCGCGGCACCCGCCCCCGGAAAGGAAACATGTGGTCCGACCGCGCCTCAGCCGGAGGCGGGACACCGGCGGGACACCGCGCGGCACCAGCCCCCGGAGAGAAATCATTTGGTCCGGCCGTGCCTCAGCCGGAGGAGACTTTCTTCTCGCCCGCCCACGCAGTTTCGCCTCGCCCGCACGCACGGCAAGCACGAACACGAAATCGAAACCGATTTCCCGGTAGGGGGGCTCTCCGTTCCACTTCGATCTCACCCCCTCACCTCCGATTATCGAATTTTCCTCCTGTAGAGGGACAGGCCCGACTGAAGGGTAGCTGTATGGGTGCTTTTCCCTGCGCTGAGAGCCTGGCCAGGTCCAGTCCTGGGCCCAGGGGGTGGCCCACAAACATCCACCCAGGGCCCAGGACTGGCCCAGGAAGATTTTGACACCAACTTTCCTGCCGAGCCGTACACTCTGGGCGGACGGCGGTGCGGGTGAACAGCAAGCGCTCCCCCCGGTGGAGCGGCCGAGTCGGCGGGGAGCGAAGGGGGGGGACGCGTGAAGGGGCGGGCCTTCTCCGAACACATGCTCTCAGAAGGCACAAAGAAAACGACAACCTCTCAGAAGGCCGGAGCCCTCCTGAGAAGCCCCGCCGCCTCCTGAGAAGGCCGTCTTCTTCTCGCTCTCCCCCCCCCTCGCTCGCCGCCGAGGTCAACTTTCGGGTCATAACTCGGGTCTCCGGCGGCCGTTCGGGACGATCTGGGCCCCCCCGGGACACCCTCGGCGAGGCGCAGCCGCCGGAACGCATCCCGAGGGCGGAACACCACCAGGAAACGACGCAGATGCCCGAATCTCGAATGCCACCCCCCTCGCTCGCCGACGAACCTCGAAGCCTCGAAGCTCGAAGCTCGAAACCTCGCAGGGAACCTGGAGCCTCGAAGCTCGAACCTCGAATGCCACCCCCCTCGCTCGCCGACGAGGGGAGGCGCTGCGCGCGTGCGCGCGCAGCGCGCGCCGAAGGCCCGCCGCGGCCTGCTGCGAGTCCGCGTCTGCTGGGCAGGCGCAGCGCGCAGCGCTGCCTGCCCGAGGCGCAGGCGCGCAGGCTGCGTCGGCGGGCGCCGGCCGCGCGCTCGAGGCCCTCACAGCGAGCGTGTTTTCTTGTTGTTCTGGACATGTTCTCAGCCTCCTCCTCCTCCTCTTCCTCCTCCTCCTCCTCCCCCTCCTCCTCTTACTCCTTCCCCTCCTCCTCCTCCTCCTCCTCCTCTTCTTCCTCCTCCTCCTCCTCCTGCTCCTCCTCCTGCCGCTCCTCCTTCTCCTTCTCCTCCTCCTCCTCCTCCTCCTCCGCCTCCTCCTCCTCCTGCTTTTAGGATGGAGGGCTCAGGGTGAAATCCATATGGGGTTTCGTACCTCGGAAACCAATCCGTGTTGTGATTCACCCTTGGCAGATTCAGGCCTCGAGAACCCATCGAAACGGCATCTCAGATTTCACCCCTTGCCCTCCACCCGAAGAAATGGCTCGGGCTTTTATGTGGCGTTTCGACAGTGGGCGGAAGGGAAGGGGAGGGGGGGGGGTCTGGCTCTGGACCTCTCCCTGGTGCGACTGTTCGCAGCCAGCAGTGCGTCCTCTGGGGGAGGGGCTCCACCTGCTGGAAAAAGGCGCCGACAAAAACAGCAAAGACATATTCCATGGGGGGTGGGGAGGGGGGGGGGGTGCGAGGGCCCGCGCCAATCGGCAAAAAAAAAAACAAAAAAGCTCACATAACATCGGACAGCTGCTTGAGACCACTTCTCCCAGAAAGCTGTGCCAGCGTTTCCAGACATCGGCTGGACGTGAGAGCGACCCTACTCAGAGTTTCTTAATATGCGTCGGGGGGGCGTCACCCCCGCCGACAGCCCCACATCGACCTCCGTCGCGGGCAGTCACCGCGCGCCGAAGGCGCTCCGACCCCCGTCGCGGCGCGACGACGAGGCGAGGTTGACCCCCGTTATGAAACCCAGGATAGGGGCCCGACCACAAAACATCTTCAACAAGAAACCCAACCCTGAGAGCCAAGGACACCCATCGAGTCTTGCAGGGTGTGTCTTGGCATGGCCCCCCACTGCATTGAAATAATCAAAGCGGAGGTTTCTCGCATATGTTTCTGTCTCGACGGGCCCTCGCCGGGCCCGTAGAGGGCTTATTAAGAACCCCGGAGTAGGCAAGAGCGACCTCTGGTGCGCGGCTTCCGGGGGGGCGCAGTGGGGCCAAACCGGGGCGCGCAAGCCGCTGCTGCCGCCTCGCGCACGGCGATCGGGGGGCCCGACTGGGCCTGCACCAGAGGCCACTCCAGCGAGAGGTCGTTCTAGTGCTTAGTCGAACAAAACTTGCCTGAGGTCGGGCACGTCCTCCTA